GCCTTACTAGTAGTAACAAGAAGCTAGTAGAAACAAGTGCCTCGCTACTAGTAACAAGTGCCTTACTAGTAGTAACAAGAAGCTAGTAGAAACAAGTGCCTCGCTACTAGTAACAAGTGCCTTCCTTATGAATCCTTTCCTCCCGCCTATCCGACCATCCCGTCAGACGCCACTGCAGCGCCGTGCGACGCTGGGGCGCGCGCTGCGCGCCCTCCGGGGCTGGAGCAGAGAGGCCGTGGGCAGTTTCAATGTGACCCATGAGTTCGATGACAATAGACGATAGTAGACGGGTGAATCAATTTAGACATGTTTTACATAGGTGAAAAGAACTATTGGTTTGTGGGTCGGGTGCCTTTTAAACGTGTATATATATAACATATATATATATATAAGCTTGTACTGGGTGAGCAATGGTGTGGAAATGCTAGAGATGAACACCGAGGCAGTTGAGAGTGCCAACAGAGACACATTTTAGCTGGAGAGTATATAAGAACCTCCAAACAGGAACATGTGTGAGATGTGGTTTAAGTTTAGCCTAAAGCCAGAATGACATCTTGAAGACTTGAAGACAATGTTGCTCCAGTGCGGGACATGCGAGGAAAGTCGGGATCATCCATCGCTCTCTCCCTTCACAAGGTCACGACTTGACACAGGCACCAATGAGCTTTAAGCAGGATGCGATTCAGTCAAAAAGAGGGGAACAGGTTACAGGTTAAGTTTCCACAAGCAGCAAGCAAAATAATATCTGGGACCTAGGAACCAAGTCAATCATGTGAAGGGTTAGTTCTTCAGGCAGGGAAGTGTTTTTGAAGACGCCTGAGCTTTTCTGCATCCAAGCCAGTAACGGCCTACTTACTAGCTACTCCTCTTGCTTGCTTTCAAGGCCTTCACGGCCCTTTCCCCCCAAAAGAAAGAAGTGCGGATGCCGGAGGAGAAGAGTTGCGCGGAGCAGTTTGCGCTGCCAGTGGCTGAAGCCTTGGAGACCGTCCGGTGGATCTTGGAGGCAGTGGACCAAACCAGGGATGTTGTGACCTTCGGTCTCAGCGGAAGGGCCTAAAGGGACCATTGTGGAAATCTGTTCTGTTCAGCCAAAATAAGTAGGATTTACTCCAACTGGTGATGAGCTATTACGACTTGCAGCTGAAAGGCATATCCAGTGAGTTGTGCTTGGTTGTCAATACGACTAATTAGCGGAAGTCCAAAGGATGATACTGTACTGTACATTGTACTTATACATACTTACACATATATACAGTAATATATAGAGACATTGAACTTCAATTGGCCTGTCTTGTTTGCCGGATACATTTCTACAGTGATAAAGATGCTGCAACCCATAGACATGCGGGTGCAAGGGTTGCACGCAAGTGCTCAAAATCCATGGACAGGGAAAGAGTCCGTTTGGACACCCAAAAGCCGCCATTTGTACGTCAAACGCTGTTGTCTTGTGGTTTCCCACTCGTCACCCTGTTCACAAGCCGTTTTTGGACAAACAAAAGCTGCACAGGTCTTTTTGTTCTGAAAGGGCTATTATGTGCTGTTTGCTTGTCCTTGGTCAATTATATGATTTGAGATGAAGCTGTTTTAAGGGAAATCTGTTGAGCTTGAAATATAACGGTTTCCTTCCTCACAGTCTGTCTTCTATTGGCACCCACGGGCAATGCCTTCCAGAAAAAGAGTATGGTTAATGCCTGCAACAAATCGAGAGAATACAATAATCATCTTGGGAACATGTTGTTCTGGACTCTGCAGTTCCCTCTCTCACCACAAGTTCTCAACAGGTAAAATCTGTCAATACCTTTCTCACAAGATTTGCTCAAGCTTTTGAAGGTGAATCCATTCTTGCAGTTCTTGAACATTTCATTTGTCCAGTATGCATGTCGGCCCTTGTTCCACTCGCACCCACTCGCCCTAAATCGAGGCAGGTGAGCCCCTGGTGATGCAAGTCTTGGAGTCCAGGCAGCCTGTCTGCCAGTGGGGAGACAATCCAAAAATCGAGTCTGAAGGAAAATGGATAGCCACTGAACACGGAAGGTGCGTAAACGGCGTATACTGTACCTATAGACATAGGATTTCCCTATCCTAGGTGGTAGGAGTTCAGGTTTTGCCCATGTCAGCAGGAGCGCCTTTCTTCCGACTTGGTTGATGTAGAGCTGGGTATTTGTCCTTGTGAAAATGCTGTTTGGCTCCACTGGTGCCTTTTCTGGTTGGTGGAATTGTGAGTTGTCATGAATCTGCGTTCTGCATCAAAAGGGAGAAAAAGTAGGTCTACGATTCTGAAGATGAAGCATACTGTAGTAAACTCAGAGGAATACCATTCCGGGGCTTCTCAGTTGTGAATATTCATTCAATGTTGAATGATGCTGAATGATCAGATAATCCTTTAGTGTTGACTTTTTTCAGAGAACTCGGCAGAGGTCCTCCTAGACTGTCGACGGTTTTCACCAACTCAGTGCGCGGACGCACCGAGCAGCTGTGTGGCGGTGGTGCAGATGTGAGGATTTTTGAGAGTGGCCTCTTCCAGAAGTCCTTCAGCTCCTCTCACCTCGGATCCTCGGAGAAAAGTTGGATGGGTCCGGAGCATCAGAGACTGTTCCGGTTGTTCCTCGGAATGCTACGATGTCACAGTTGGCATTTGTTGTGTGCAATCTGACAATTCAAAGCAAGAGTCATCATACAAGTCACACCAATGGTTTCTTTGGGATCATCGTGACAAGGTCAGCGATACAGATGTTCTTCCATGATGGATGCGACCATTGAAGCAACAATTGAAGGAAGATGTCCAGAATGAGATGAATGTGGTACCTGAAGATTCTCTAGATTTCTTCCAGCAACACTATAACATTTGAGGGACCTTGAATTGCTGAATGTTGCTCAATTGCACACAACGGAGGGTGATTTGAGATTCGAGGCTTTTTTTGTTGTCGGTTGAAAGCTAGCTATATGATTTCGATTGAGGTTTACGTCGAAGCGCGCTACGGCTCCTGAGTGCACTGCTGGCGGCAGATTTTCCTCAATCAGTGCCTGCGATCTTTAAGGCGACCCGGGATAGTCCATGCCATGAAGATCATAGACCTGTCGGGTTTTAGGCTCTCTCAAACCCAGATTTGGTTTGATCGGTTTGATTTGGACGCTCCAGCTGGATCTCCTGCAGAGCAAAGGAGGATCAGCTTGGTATTAGTTCATATTGGGAAAGCCAAGTGATCAATTAGAAAGGTGACATTCCCCTGCACTAGTAGCTATATAGTACAGAAGTTCAGGGGGAGGGAGTCTGGAAATTGGTGTGCTTTCCCACGCCACTGGCAATTATGCAACTAATTCTACGACTCTACACGTGTTTTTCCTCTTCAGCTTGTCCTCTACAGTCATACAGGGACCCTGTACGCTAGATGATGTTGTTTTTTGATTTGTTTTTGTTTTTTTTGAGGTTTCTTTATTTCTTCATTTGCCTTCTTCTATGCTGGAGCTGCAAAGCCCTACTTGTAGCTGCCTGGAAGATGCAGATGGAAAGTCAAAAAGAGAAGCCAAGAGGAATCCCAGCACGACTCACTTGGCTCGCTGCACAAGCTGCATGACCGCAATCACGTCAACACAGAGCACTTGGCGACGAGAAGTCATAGGGCTTGAAGTCGCAATAAGACGACGTTTTCCATTCACAGATCCTCACAGGGTGAATATCTGGATTCTTCACAGATCCTCACAGGCAGGCCTCTGGACTTCTGCTTTGGCAGCTGCTGAGGTGGGACCGTCGTTTCTGTGCTTCTTTTTCACCACGGGTTTCATGGGTCTACTGCCGCGGTCATTGGGTCGAACGGTTGGATGATGTGGATGCATCGACCTTGCTGATCCGTGATCGTTCCCTTTCATTCAATGGGCACGACAATTTCACAGTACAAGACACTTGTCAAAAGGGGCTTGCGTAATGGAAGCAATAGAACCTCCAGATCCCCGTGAATCGGTTCTTGCTAAGAAGACACGAGAGAGTTTGGTATCCCGAAAAGACGTAGATGCTGAAAATCGTCAATTAGCCAGTCAGTGTTTATTTGGCTTCATTCGTTTTGTTTGCTGTGTCGGCTGTTTCCGGCTGTGTTATTTTGATTGCTTCTACCAAGTAACAGAAGACACTGCAGAACTGGTGCTGGGCACTTAGTTTGTCAGATAGCGACTCCTAAGACCTGGTTCTGATCTGAAGCGAAGCTATGGAGCTCCGTGACTTGCATTCTCGATGCACAGGTCGAGGAGCAGAGCTTGGATTCCTGTACTGTGACGACAGATTTGGTGCTCTTGGTCATGCAAGGCCGATGTGCTTCAGCTCCGTTTGGAGCGGAGGATGGGCGTAAGAGCGTGCAATGTTGCTGGAAAAGAGCATGCTCGGGGGTTCTTGAAAGCGCTTCTGATTGCAAGAAACTCTTTTTTGTATTGTAGTAATGCCCTTGTTCCTAGTAGCGATGCACCTTGCCACTAGTAGCTTCTTGTTCCTAGTAGACATGCCAGGAGCTACTAGTAGCTTCTTGCTACTAGTAGTAGTAATGCCCTTGTTACAATGTGTTGTTACCTGCGTAGATATGTCTCAATCTATGGAGTTGTGTTGTCTGAATGAGGGGACCTACAACAAATGAGAGATGTCTTTGTCAGATATGTTTTTTGAATAAGCCTCAAATGGCTACTTTAAGGATCCCCAGGCAACTGTAGCAGTCACTGCATCAATATTCTAGACAGCCTTGCAGCTGTCTCTTGGAGTATATGCATACAAAACTTGAAGTATGGTGCACCTTGGATTTTGGCATTTCTCTCACTCTTAACAGCTTCTCGCATTGGGTTCTTATTGAAGCACGCTTGCTCCAATAGGTTCCATCATCCGTTTGGACCATGGGGAGGTATGCTGCTTTGACAAATAACACAAAGGCAGTCATCATCACCGGCAGCTCACATCATTACTTGGCAGGTAGCGGAGAAGATTCGCAGCTGCTGCTGTGGCTTTGCAAGAGCACATCGTTTTTACAAGACTGGCAGCACGTGTTGCAATACCTGGGCACATTTGCGAAGAAGGCAGAAGTGCAAGGCACCATTGCGGGTACAAGTCCTGGCTTCCCGATTTTCGCGGCTTTGATTTCCTGTTTGCTTTGATTGGAGTTATTACTCGGCCTTCAGTAGTTGAGTGACAAGCTGATCGAAATTGACTTGGTCAATGTGTTTCTTTTTCTGGATTTGCACTTGGGATGTCCGTGTCCAGCTACAATCGTTCCCGGTGTGTCAAATGCATACAATTCCTACACTGCACCCACGAGATCATCCATGGTGCCGGTGTATGCGGATTCCGTCGTGTCTCCGTTGGATGCTGTGAGGCGACAGAACCTCTCGGCTGGCCGAACTGTTGCGAAGCTTGGTAACACGAGGGGTGTTTGAGCGATGCTGCTGTTCTGCGTACAGAAGGAAGGCCTAAGAAAGATCTAAACCAAAGAGACAGCACGAAGGTTCGGTGGTTGATTCCAGTGGTTGATCTGCTCATGTAGGCTTCTTGAGGGGGTTACCAATCGGGGAAAGGGATGAGAAGTTGAGAGGTCCAAGCCGCATTGGAACATTGGTATCATGGCAATCCATCACTAATTTGAGATCCTTTCCCAGGACCACGTGGTGGTGTTTGGAGTTCGTTGTTCCCTTTTTATGTTTTCTAGGACTTTGACTTTGACTGTCCAAGAGCCGGCAAGCCAATGTGGCTGTCCATATTGCCCTATGAATAGCAAGTATGCTCTTGTAAAGAGTTTGCAACTCAACTTGTTGTTCAGCCTCGTGCTCTCCACCTGAAAGGGCAGCCTCCTTGTCTTGGCGGACAGTGCAGTAAGACGGGGTTATATACTGGGGCCCAAATGTTGAGCAGCTATATGGGTCCTTTGATTATTTCACTCTTCGAATCTTCGAAGCGTTGTTACCAGACTCTCATTTCCATGACTCAATGATAGACCTGCAAGGAGACAGTTGTTTGTTTGATTGACATCCGTAGAAATATTCCTTGGAAGCTTAGCATGTTTGCTTTGGATCCATTATATGATGTCCTATGACAGACCCTCCTGGGCGGTGGCTGACTTGCCGGTCTAGGACTGCATTTGGTGGCCTTGTTACGCTTGATGGAGCTCTGGGAGGAGGATATGGAATCCATTCTGTGATGTTGAGTGAGTTTGCTATCCAGGTGCAATGTTTGGACCCCAATTGAGACTGCCTACCCACAAAGCCTTTTGTCCGCATCGTTTCGGAGGGCCCATGGCACGCGGCAGGACTTCCAGGATTTTCTTTTCTCCTGGCAAGTGCAGCTGGCCTTGTGCGAAGCTCTTCAGGTCGACTTGAGGGATGTGGAGATGTGGAGATCCAAAAACACTGGCTCTAGGCTTCAGGATGCGCAAGGTGTTATTGGTTTCTCATTCAAACATGTTTGCCACCTAAGTTGTGGCATCATGGACTGGATGATGTTCTTTGTAACTTGATGACGTTATATGGTGTTCACCTGAAATCTTCAACAACTTTGCCTTCATTCCAGGCAGATTTCCCAGCGGAGACGCGGCACGTTGCCACAGCTGCCTTGGCTTCCTGGGCCGGGCGTCGTGTGAACCGCGTGACGCAGGCGAGGTGGGTTCAACATGGTTCAACCAGTAGTCGAAGGAGGTCGTCCATGGAGGATTTTGCATCGTTTTGTGTGTAGAATTTACTGCACAGCAGCATAACCAGTGATACCATGTGTATTTTGTTACCAAGCCAAGAAGCATGCGCGGGAAAATGTTCTTTTTGTACAGTACTGTTTGTACTGGGATTGTTGGGCTTGATGCGGGAAAAATGTGTAACCGGGGTCACTGTAGATGTTTCAATTGATTTTCATCCAGGTCCAGACATATCACACAGTCTTGAACCCTCCAAGAGCTGACGTTGGATGCTTGCGTTCACCTTTTTAGAAAGCCAGCTGCGGAATCCAGATGAGTACAGTGCTTCCAAATGTCATGACCTAGGAGCCCATCTATACTGTAACAGACGACAACGAGATTAACCTGCCATTGGTGATTTCCCGCTAGGAGACCATGACGAGCGACGATGAGCTCTTGGGCCACCGTGCTGCGCAGGGTTTCTTGCGAGTTCTGAGCACCTTGTTTCATGGGAGGGAGGAGTGAGGCGATTCAATCATGGCGAGTCTTTTGATCACTTTGACGACCATGGGACTTAAGCTTTGGAGTGGGTTTCACGTGGAAGTGCTGCAAATATGTTTTGGTTCACTTGGGGACGCACGAGTCATGCCTAGTTCATTAGGGGAATAGTCGGAAGTGAGTATACAGTATAGATTCATATAATATAGATTCATCTAATTCCATCGGATCTAAACGCCCATGGTTATTTTCCCAAGTCCACCGTTCCACGTATTTCTGGTCGCGACTCTTATCGAGGCAGTGACAGTCAAGCCAAGTGGCTGACGACCTCAGCAGCCGCAGCCGCAAACCTCTACGCAGCATCACCGTTGGCCGCCACTGGGTGAAGTTGGACACGTTTCGGAAGTTCGCAAAGTTGGAAGTTTGCCAAGTAAATCTGAAACACCTGTGTTTTTACAAACGCTCCAAAGCGTGTGTCTCGCATGTAACATGTATGTAACATGTATGTTTGATCGAGCATGTGCAGTCATGCAGAGTCGACGGATCATTGGGCCAGGAGTCCGCAAGAATGAAGTAATACTTCCTGCGAGATGTTCTTGCAAACAGAAAATCAGCTGACAAGAGTGCATGTTCCTGTAGAAATATGAAACCTACACCAATGATGTAGATTCAGTCCTATAGTCCTCAACAAGCTGTGAAACTTATGTGGCAAAGAGCAGAACTTCCTTACGTGGGACAAGTTGAACAAAGGCCTCTGGCGCCATCTCCGAGCTGCCGCAGCTCAGCAGAGCCTTGGAGCAACTGGCGGCCATGCGCAGGCACTGAGCGGAGCACGCAGAGCTGGTGCAAGCGAAGTGGGAAGTCATGAGAGAAGGAGGGAGTGGCGACTACTTGCTGACGTGAAAAAAATGCTCGTGGAGGAACAAGTAGTAATTATCAATGTCAGCATATATATGGTTTTACAGACACTGTTGTTCCATTTCCATATTTGCATATGATATGCTGAACAAGGCCTTTGCCGATTGACTCACGCGAGGCATCAGCAGCTGATCTGGGTGATGCGCGTCTTCTTTGCGATGCTCATCTCTTCCGCAGATGCACTTGCAGGAGAGAGAGAGAGAGAGAGACATCGATCAACTGGACCGCTTGAAGTGGACCGTGAGTGGTTCCGTTCATCGTTCGTGGAATATTGATCCGAATACATCCAAATATGAAATATATAGATTAAACATCATTCGGGGCCAGCGGCTAGAGTCCTGTTTTCAATGACAGACAGAGATGGCGAGCTGTTTGGATTGTGTTCATTCTTACTGTAATACATTGTACCAGCAAGAACCAGAGGCAAATGTTTGTCGAAAGATGTTTTTTGTCAGTTCTTTGCCATGGATTGCAGACTGCCGCGCAGCTCAAAGGGTAGAACATCAGTTCCACTTGGGTTCGCACGAACATGGCCGATCAATGTCTGGGTGTGTGGGTGTGTGGGTAAACAAGATGACACTCAATCTGGCTTGATTGAGATCGTGACACAAAGTAGAGCACAGATTCTGTTTCTTTTGTTGGAAAGGTTGATTGCTTGGCTACTATGCTTTGAAAGGGTTTAGCCATAATGAGGCCTGCACTGTAGTAGAAACTGGTAGAAACAGTTTATTCTCACATCAGGAGCACATGCAGGAGGTTCGCTGGCATCAGCGCTCCCCAGCTGAAACTGTCTCGGATTGTTAAAAAGAGTCACATGTTGACGTGTTGGTTTTGGGTCAGTCAGTGCGATTGTCCAATTGTGTTGTTGATTTTATTCTACAAGCAGCAGAGTTCGTTGTGTGCATGTTTTCCGCAGATACATAATGTAGCATAATGTATACAATCAATAATTATGACCGTATATGTATCTAGGGATGTGTTTTGTTTCAACCAATTAGAGTGTTGGTTCCAGAACATGTCTCTGCTCGGAGTTCAAGGTGGTTCTCGGACCCATCCGGAACTCTCTCCATCGACCGACATGAAACTCGTGGAAGATGGCTCCACGCTTCGGGTGTTTTGTGTTGACTGTTTGGTCTTAATCAATCGCTTCCGCCTGCTTAGCATCGAAAGAAATGCACCTCTAGCGGGCCCTCTAGGTTGGGTGATGCCTACAATTCTCAAGAGTGCTTGATTTTGAGAAAAGCTCATTTGATCAACTTCAAGACGTACGGACTACATTGACTGACGTTCTATATATTTGTTTTTCCCCTCGAAGGGTAGCCCTGCACATGGCACTGCTGTGATTCAGGGTCATGGAAGAAGACGATAATGGGTAACTGGGCAACTACTGCGGACTTGCAATTGCGATTTTTGAAAGGAGATCACTCATAAACTTGTGCTCTTGAGGCTGCTTGCCATCAGAGCCAGTGCCGACAGAGACGAGGAGACTAATCTTGGAATGGCTAGTGCAACTGTACTCTTTGTGATGTTTGACCGGAGGTGGCATATGGCAGCATCACGAAAGCCCCAGTTATACACTGGTGTTGATATTCCACATGACAGCTGGGGCAGGAGTCGACCAAGGTTCAGCACCGAAAAAGTCTTGTGGTGCCAAGAAGAATGTACAAGCCTCTTGTTGCTGAGTGGAACATGAGTCATGTTGAACCATGGTGATTTGGATTTAATTCAGTGTGGATGTAGCGAGCCCAGTGGATCCTTGGTTGGGAGCAGTTGACCATCAGTTCATCCTAGTTACAGTACCTACGTAGTTCTAGGGTGTGAAGTTTGGTCTGCAGAATCATATCCCATGACAACTCCTCCAGGCAGTTTGCCTGGAATTCCTGGAGCAGCTCTCAAAACTTGCTGAAGCTTTGGTGCAGCTCAAGGCCGTCGCTAAGTCGAGCCTTTTTTGAGTTGAAGCGTTGCCTAAGTTGTAAAGAAGTGTTCATTCATCAAACGGGTCGTTGAGAAGGACCTGATAGCCCTGCAAATAGATCAAATAGCAACTAGCGCATCTCTTTTGTGATTTTTTGGGTAGGGCTTTTTTGCACAGTCCCATGGCCTTGCTCCCTGGAATTTGGCAGCCATCCAAGGAGGTGTTCTTCTTTATTTTGTTTACCCTGCTTTCAGGAGGTGACATATATAATACTATACCACCAAGCGGCCAGGATGAAGAGGTGTGGTCACAGCTTTTGAGCTGGCTCATGCGGCTCAGCATGAAGAAACAACTCCCAAGTGCTGCCTTTTGTTGCGCCGCTTGGATCAAAGTGGATTTTGGACGTGCTTGAAGATCCGAGACCATCGAGTCGAAGGGAGACCATTGAGTCGCTGCACGGCATACCAACATGAAGAAAACTTCCTCCAGGGAGAACAAAGACCATCAGCCTTGAATATGTGAAACATATTTGCAATGTGAGTATGTCGTTATACGCTTGCCCATACAAATGTGTAGGTGTTTTGTCGTTTGAAGTAGTATTGCTCAGGGAGGTGAATTGCCAAATCTAATGACTGTGTTTCTTCTAAATGGGGTTTTCTTTGGGAACAAGTGGGTGTGGGTCAATGGCTGACATCAAAAGCAACAGTGCTTTTCTTATTGGGCATGCAAAGCCTCCAGGGAGTTGCTTAGAAGGAAGGGAGGAAGCATCCGTTCTGCTTTGGACTCCAAGAGAAACTGATTTGCTCTAATGTGTCACCCAGTGAGCAAGACAGGTGATGGACATCCTGTGCCTTTCCAGTGAGATCTTAGCACCTTGGAAGCCAACTGGAATATTCCAGCGTGCACAGGTGACTCTTCAACTCATACTTGGGAGACAGAGAGACACGTGACACGTTTGTTATTAGCGATGCCCTCCAACCTACTAGCCATGCCGCCTCCAACCTACTAGCGAAGGCCTCCAACCTAAGTGGCCTCCAACCTAAGAGCGAAGGCCTCCAACCTCCAATAATATGGCTGCCATCCATTGTATTTACTGCATGTATTGAGATGTGATATTTGAGGGTGCGGACCTTGACTGCATTGTCCATTTCCCCTTGGCTCAATGATCATTTGTAAGGTCCGGTCAAAGTTCCGAGGGCTCTCTACCAGGGTGCATGTTTGTCGGTGAATATCCAAGATAGTGTGATGTGGTTGCCCCTTGCCCCTTGCCTGGCTTTGCCATAGTGCGCAGTCTTCTGATTTGGCTGGCAATCCTTGTTCCAAAAACTATATCTGCAACGGTGGTTTATCATGTCGAGGGCTATATGGTTCAGCAGTTGGATAAGCCCAAACTGTCAAGGAGGCTGGTCCATGGCCAAACCAATGTGTCCATTAACGAGTGTTTTCTTAGGGGTGATGTGCGTGCAGCTTTAAAATCCCATCCCTTTTTGCAGGACAGAACATTGGACACCTAATTAGGTATCCTGTACATTTATATAAGCCCAAAAAACGAGGCTTGTGGACGTGGAAGCCCATGCGTCGCGTGTGGACGCGTGGACACGTCATGCGGCCTTCTCGTCTCCTGGTTCCGTCCGATAAGGCCGGGAAGCCCATGCTCTTCCGATACTTGAGCCAGCTCATGGAGGCGAGGAAGACCGTGCCGGGAGACTGGTGTCCGTCTTTCTCCCGGAAGAATTCGTTTCACAGCGGGACTCGGATCCTATCTAGACACGGGTTTGGGCATGTTCTTGATGTTTTGTGGGTCCATGCTGCGAAATCGATGGCTTTGTTTTGTTTTAATGGTTTTCTTTGTGCAAAACAACGTACAAATTATCGGCAGGTCAGGGAAATTCAGAGAAAGGGTAAGCAGACTCTTTGAAGAGATCTTTGGCCTTTAAGCTTGGGGTGGGCTACTGGTAGCAAGAAGCTACTAGTAGCTCCTGGCATTACTACAGTACTAGGAGCAAGAAGCTACTAGTAACAAGGGCATCGCTACTAGCAGCTTCTTGCACTTTGACTTTGGCGATTTCCAGGCGATCCAAAGTCTTTCCAAGACATCGAGCTCGATGTCGTCTCGCTGGAGAAGCAAACGGCTTTGCGTATCTTGGCAGGTGTGGAATTTCATGAGACCCACGGTAGATGGACAAGGAATTGAACGCACTGCAGAATGAAGGGAACACCCCAGATCAGATCCATGAATACTTAATGATTACGGGTCAAACTTGTTGGGAGAAAACGATTGGCATCAGTATTGAACAGGTCCGACAAAGGGTTCTGGAATACAAGCTTGATTAATGGGATGGATACCCTTGACCCAGATCCTGATAGCTGTGCATTGGGTGTGGTAAATTCGATCTGCAAAGGAATTGTGTTCATCATTGGCGGTTTGCTGTGGAGCTACATGGCCTGTTATTCCATGTGAATATGTTGCAGCAAGAACCTAGACACCTCAAGGATACTGGAGGTATCATTAGGTATCACTAAGAACCATGGATTTTGCACCTGGATCCTCGACAGTGTGCCCTTAAATCAATCAGTGTGCCCGGCTGTGCCAAACAATAGCGTGTGGAGATCATGAAGCATCGCCCTTGAGGTGCAAGGTCCGGCAGGAAGAGACAGCTCACGTTGTTATCTATTTGCTTCTATAGTAGCTAGCTTCGCGAATGCATATGACCAGTGACCGTGAAAAGCATTGCTTTGGAAGCGGTTGGCCTTGACACACATTACTTGGCATTTGACGTTGGTTGCAATGAACAGACCTCACTCAACTAAGCGATCAGCGAGCGGCCTTTGATCACTGGATGATAGGGCAACGTCCCCTGTTGAGGAGCACAGCACGTTGGTTGGCGTGTTCTTCGCACACATGTTCTCCACAAAGACTGCAAAGGCAAGCTCCTTCTTTACTGGAACACATATGAGCTTGAACATGCTTGAACCGTTAAACAAAAAGGCGCAAACACCACCATGTTGTGACATTCTATAACGAGCGCAGAATACAGTTGAAATCACATGCAAGAGACGCACTATTGGACCAACCGGCAGTTGGGATTACTTTTGGATAACTGGTCAGTTGATCATGCATCGTCAGTTGTCCAGCGGCACTCCACACAAGCGCAGCAAAACTGTGAACCTGCAGCAGAAGTAATCAACAGAAACGCTTCCCTCAGCTCATAGATTGCTCAAGCCGTAGGAAAGCGGGATTTCATGATTTGTTGAAAAGCATCTCCAGCTGCTTTAATAAGTATCAGTGAAGAACTTGGACTCAACGTTCTTGACTTGGACTGGAGCGTCAGTCGACTCAGGCTGCGATGAACTTTATCGCATCCATACAGATGTGTCCTAGGAGAGCTGGCCACTCTTTGGTTTGCTTCACTTGACGGTTGACCATGTTGTCCTTCAAGTTGTCCAAAAACCTAAGACCTCACCGTCTTGACTTCACCTCCTATGTGAAATGCACCCCCCTCTGTCCCTCGAAAGAGAAGGACCACTGACCGTCCGCTGGTTGGTTGAGGACTCTCAAAAGCGATCCAAATCCATCCACGAATGGTCGGTGGATGTCGGTGGATACGCCCTCTTGGATGAGATCTGCTTGTGTTTGGTAGGAGTTGCTTCGTTTGATCCTCTACAATGGAATCATGGATGCAACTTCTGTTGCATACGTTAATACGTTCCTCTGAACATTTGGGCAGTTTGGTCCTTCAGTAGTTGGCCATTGAGACCTGCTGACCTTTTGTTCCAGGAGCACTGCGATCCTCACAGGTTCGGGCGCAGCAGGAGAAGTTCGCAGGCGCCTGGGATGAAGATGGGGAGACCTCAAAAGACTGATAGAAGGGAAATGAAGTGAACAGCATGCAGAAGTAGATTTAAAGCCACTTATAGTGGAAGATTGCCTTTTGTATGACAATTTTCCTTTTAAACAGGTGGTTTTCCACGTCCATGATTATTTCAGGGACTGTATGTCCATGCTTAAAGAGGGATCGCTGGGGGGTCACTACTCTCGCTTATATGGGTGACTTGCTGAGGTACAGGGCTGTGACTGGAAAGGCAGATGAATTGGCATGTGTTGCAGACATTTATTTCACTCCAGTGGCACTGGCAGGGAGGCCACTGTTTTTTTGGATACTCTTTTATACTCAAGCAACAGATTGACGGATTCTTGGCCATATGATGCCATATTGTGGTTATAATTATGGGGTTATATAAGTCTTGTTTTGTTGCTTTTTGGTTCGTGGTTGCAGGAAAGTGCAAGGCAGCTAGGACGGATACGTATACCTTCCAGTTCCAGCAGGAAAGTAGGATGCATTGGGTGGCCACATGTACATATTATAAGTGTATATATATATATAGACATACGTAATACTGCTTTATAGAATTAACTCTTACTAGAGTCTAGCGGCTAGCCGCTATGGTGTTTTCTCCGACTGTGTTGCGCCTGCCATCTAGAAAGCTTCCACATGCGTCAAAAGACCCTTTTGTGCGATCATCAGATCATCCGATTGCATCACCAAGCAAACAGTCCGATTCATGTGCTGGCTATGTTCATGCATGGTTTGGTTCTGTTTGGAGCTGCTGAGCCAGGCGACACTTGTCGGCCCCTTTGGAAGCAGGCGCCACATGGACCCGTGCAGTCGCCACGAGAAGCGATCTGGCTTTGTTGAGACAATATGGACATCCGTCCAATCTGGAAAGACCCTTGGTTGACATCCCTACCGAATCTCTTATCAAGATGAGATTCCCTTGGTTGGTCTGATGAATCCACACAAGAAAGATCGAAGGTTCGCATATACTGTAAGGCTCTCGCTTTGACAAGTTTGGCCTGACAGTGGTTGTTTATTCTGATAGTCAGTAGACTCCCTTATAAAGGGATCGGTTCATTTCAGGAGTCAACCATGGTGCCCCGGTTTTGACCCACAGCCAAATCATCCACTACTTCTACCTTGTGGTGGCACACTCAAGGTTTGATGATGACTGGTGTGTTCAATGCTCTTCGGGCAGGCTTGGACCTGTGGTTTGACTTGACAGCACAAGGCGAGGGTCGGAGGGATTTTTCCGTCAAGGTTCAGTTGGGCAATGTTCGACATGTCCCCAAGCCGAGAGAGAAAGATTGGAAAGGCGCAAAAGGCATCTCGCTTTGCGAACAATGTGCCCTCTCTTTTTCAGCACTTGCCTGTGAACAATGTGCACATTCCAACATGATATATCAATTCCCTGGTGGAACTCTCGGATGGCTCAGCTGAACCCCCCGACCCGAACCAAGGGGAGCTGCACAGCATGGTCCGCTTTGCGGCTTTGCGAGTCCTACTGGCCTTGTCCGAGGCCATGCCCAAGGCAGGCAGGAACTGGGAGGAAGAGTGACAGCTGTTGAACAGCTATTGGCATATTTTTGAGGGAGTCCTGAGTCCAGTCAGTTCCAGCACATAAATAGGAAGAAGCTTGTTTTGTTGGACTCCATGTGTTTTGTTTAACAAGGACTCTTTCCCAGGTCAGGATGCTCATCAAAGCAGATGGCTTACTGCAAAGGCCTTATTTCATTTCGGCACATATCCTGATCCTCCTGTCCCATGCTAGGTCTTGCGAATGTTGAATCTCTTGCGTTCTTCTAGTTCCTAGATAACATTTTGCACACTGTAGAGCAAGTGCTCACAGGGGCACTGGTTCAAGACTAAATCATCCCCAAAAAGCACGTACACATGCTGACTGTCGTAGACCATTCTGTTCTTCTGCGGTTCAATGTAATAGTCAAATGTTAATATAGCTGGTGAGTAATGTGGCTGCATCTTGTGCGGGTAGCTGCGCTAAACAGCCGAAAAGTATATACACGCTGGAAAAGCAGCTGCAATAGCAACAACAACCCAACAACAACAACAACACAACCACGACGACGACGACGACGACGACGGCCGACGACGACGACGACGACGACGACGACGACGACCGCCGACGACGACGACGACGACCGCCGCCACAACGACAGCACCAACCACAGCGACGACAACAACAACAACAAAGACCACAAGATGACCCTTCTGACTTTCTGGGTGAAAGGATTGCTGGGCATAAAGGTACCTCAGCGCTGGAGCTTGGCTGTTCGTGGACAGCACCCAACCATTGACTTGGAGAGGGAATCATCATCAATGCCAACTCTTTTCTCCACTTGTTTTCTACCCTACGTGCAGGCCCTCAACAGGGGACTGAAAACTGTTCAGTGCAGTGAATCTGGGATTTTCTGCTTGTTTGCTCAGCATTCAGCAGTCTTGGGACTGGGCCTTTCACAAGGCCCTGCCTTGAAGAAGCTGTTGTGAACATCGTGTTTTGGAGACAACCCATGGCTTTTGACCTATCCTGCTTGTGCTAACATCTAGGTTGGTTCAAGTCAGGTTGGTATCTACTGGAATTGCTGCAAGGTTAAACCATGAGTTCTGCTCAAGACCCTTTTTCTCTTCACTTGCTGTCGTGCGTGTGGGCCTGGATCTTGAAAAAAGTAAACCCGCCCACCCACGTCAACTGGACTGGTGAGCATCCAAACGGTATAAGAAAGCAACAATTTTGGGTACAATGCGTGGCTCGCTAAATGCAGGATCCGTTGTCACTATCAAATTGAAATGGCTGCAATCTCAAAGCGACTGAAACACACTGAACCTATATTGTTTTCCCTTTGGGGATTCCTGCCTTTTCCTGGGTTTCTATGTTCGTTTGAGCATTTCAAGCCGCCACAATAAGCAACATCCGCACTAACAGTTCTTCGGGGGGGTGGTCGTCGCAGATATTGTAAGATTTTGACTCACAGCAATCAATACAGCAACCAATGTGAGGGCAAAGTTACCCGATGGAATGTGCTGCTTGGAACAAGGGGGTCATGATTTGAAGCACCGATCCAGATGGATGCCAAACTCTTTTTTCGGCCACCTGTTGAGCGGGCGTCGCTCCCTCCCTCTCTCTTTGTCTCTCCTTTGAAGGTTCTATTCTCACCCAATCTTTTGTTTGTGGAGCAAATTTGAACTTATTTTCCTGAAGCACATGTGTTGTCATGTCAAAGCTGTCGTGGGCGTGTTCACGAAGGTGGTTTCTCAACATTCAGCGTCTAGACTTGTCCTTTCGACCAAGCCCCTAAACAATTTTTTGGAAGCATGCAAGGCCAGCGTGGAGGCCTGGCCAAGGCTGGGCCACGTAGAAAGTCGATGGCGCAGGGATTGCCATTTATTTCAATGAAGATAAGTTTGTCCTGAGAATTCATGAGGTGTAGCCTGAGACGGACAAGCACCTTGTGCCGTTTCTCACACTGGATTGTGCTGATTGCCCTTCAGCTGATTGGACCCCGCACGGTCACCAAATGCAGCAAGATGTTGCTGTGACACAAAATCTAGTACTCTTGGTGAGTACAGCACCCTTGATTTGGTCAGGTTTGCCCCACCCAATATGTTTGCGCTTTGTCCCAACACCTTCAGTTCCTGATAGACATGTCAATGTATATACATTCTGCAGCTCGAAGATGCATTTCGAGGTATATAATTCTTGGTAACACATGAATTAGTTACTAAAAACTACAGTAAACCTAGAGTAAACCCCAACACACAATCAGCGAATCAGCATTTAATATGACTGATCAACTGATTGATTGTGCATCCCAACCGAATGTTCAGGGAGGTCGGAGTCCAACTTGTGATGCCATGATAGTGGCACCTCAAAAATAGACTTGGGCTTGTATAATTCATATAATCATATATACACTTTTATACATGTATATATTTCTATGGTTGCACATGGTAGGTGTATATATATAATCATATATATATATGTTTAATGCGAAGATACATGTTAATGCGCAATATAGAAGGTGTCAGGACAGGGTGTTTGCGGCTTTTCATGATGCAGAATACCCAATTGCTGAGAGCTCTCTTCCAATTTTGGCAGTGACTCAACCAAGCGGGGTGGATGCTGGACATCATCTCAATATATATATATATATATTGGTTTATACATTAAACCCGTGCCTGACAAAGCAGTCTAAAGTGAGGTTCGGTGCTGGTGGTAGCATGAACATTATACGGATGTGTGTTGGGTCCACTACCCTGAGACCACAGAGGATTCGCACTTCACTAACACTTCATATTGTTGCATTTTTAGGTGGCAAGTGAGTTTTCGAGTGAGTTACTGGAACTTGACCCCCGATGTGGGATTGTCTCAAAATCCTCCTGGCATACCCCTAGCAAGCCAAGTCACTGGGCAATGGGCCAACTGATAGTGAGACCACTGGCTAGCCTACTGCTAAAGTCAAAGTTGACAACACCTGCGCGGTAACCCATGTAACTACACAGCCACAAACCAACCCTGTTGCCACTGCTTTTTCCGGAGACCCACCCATCCGTGGGAAGCAAGCCAGACCGCCAGGTGGCCAATGCTTCAAAGGCGAGGTGGAATAGGGTCAAAAGTCAAAAGTGTGTTCGATTGGAGATGGTGAGTTGCAGTCGTTTGGTTTGCGTTGTTTGTTTATGTGGTTCTTACTTTGTTAACTAGCTAGTTAGGTAGCTAGTTTGTTTGTTTGCTTGAGATGTTATATTGTTTGCACGTGTGCATGTCTTCTTTGTTGAAAGCAAACGACAAACACATGGTCTCTAAATTTGTCACAATATTCATTCATCCAGCAACATGTCCATCCACCACCGACCCTTGCCCTTGAAGCCTTCTGTTTTGCAGGTCTGGCCGGCGCTGGGATCTACGGGAAGGACGTTTGGCCACCCCATTTGACACTTGAGTCCAAAGGAGCTGAAGTGGTTGAGCCCAAGAAACTCAAGTAACTCAAGGTCTGAGATAGGAATCCTAGTAACAGCAACTCGTTGTGAACCAATCACTTGCGTATTTTGTTGGACCTTAGACAACCTTAACACGCGGTATTTTGCCCCAGTTCGGGCGCGAACGCGCGTATTGGTTGAGTCCAATCCTTCCAAAACGTCGTGTGCTCAAAGACCAAGTTGCCCAAGCTTACGACAGTGACACAGAGGACATACATGTGCAGATGTATTGTAAAACAGCTCGGGTTGCAGATTCTGCTTAGGACTTGTACGGGCGATTTATTTTCTAGTAGATTGGTATTATAGTTTTTTTCCGGAATACTTTGCGTGCCAGATTTGGCTTGTGATACCTCACACCACTTCTGATTTGCCGGCTGCCAGTCTTCGGCAGCATTCACCTTTCGCCTCGTTCGAGTGAGGTGAATTGTGCTGGATTCAGCCTGTACTAAAGTAAACAATCAGGTTGCATTCTTGCAAGGTGTTCAATACTCTTGTGTGGTTGTACGATACATATATATATATACATATTATATTGTTGTTTCGTCTTTTTTCGGGCCATTCGCGGACATGGTAGGTCCATAGGCAGACAAGCCTTTTGGTCAAAGTCAAAGTCCTGTGGTTCCTCTTTTTGTTGATGTTTTCAGTGTTTTTGACCTTTTCAGGACTTCTTCAGCTGCTGGCTGAGGCACTGAGGGACCTGTTCAAATCTCATTTCCCCCCCAAAGCCTCCTGGAAGCTTGGGTTCCCCTTTGAACGCCCCAACATAAAAGAACCTTCCAAGACAAAAGCGTCGCAGTATTTGATGCGCGACCTTTGTGAGTTCAGGATCCCAGGTGTATTCGTTTGTTTTTCACAATATGAGGTTTCACTGTTTCACGTGAGGAGCAAAACTTCAAGAGAGCAATGTGAGCTAGATTTGTTTGGATGAGGAGTTCTTCCCTGCGAACGGACGCTCCAGAAACAGCAGGTAAAAGGCAAACTAGAGCAACATCGACTGGTTTCAAGATCATGCTGGAGTTGTATGCAGATCCTCCGCAAAAATGTGAACAATGCCAGCAAGTACAATCGGAAGCGAGTCAAAGTGCACTCAAGACACTCAGGACAAAATGGAGTGTGAGTGTGACATAGTTTGAGTTTTGAATTGTTTGTTCATTGATTGCTCTACCATGAACAAAAGACCCTCATCATTCTTCAAGGTACCAAGAAGCTTGCTCCCAGATTAACTGGCCACACATCTATGACTCGCATCTAATGACTGGCCCCTTTGTGTGTGTACGTCAGAATCTTCATCCGGTCGTAGAATCGGCATCGGCAGCCTCAATTCGTTGCTGACACGCAGCAACACAGCAACATATTGATGTGTTCCCTTTGTTTTGCTCTAGGCAGCGCAATCACTTACATTTTGGCTTTGGCCCAGTTCCCCCAAACCTGAGCCACATAAATACTAGGTTCAATGAGGTCAATATTACCTATAATATCCTATAATTATGTTTGAACCAACGCTGTGGGCGCTGAAATCTTAGTGACTGATAGTGTTGCAAATACTTGCACTGGACTAGGGTATGCCCGGATGGATTGACAGGCTTTTTGTGTCTCAAGATTTGCAGGAGGATTGGCGGGCTGCAGCTTTGTGCGAAGCAGAGTGAGACCTCTGGGGGGGGTTGAAGATGTGCTCTTAGAGCCATATCTTCATTCGGGCGCAAGTTGGGATTATAACTTGCGGAGAAAACAAGTTGCTGACCTCAGTGTTTGGGGACCTCAAGATAGCATGTAGAAAGCTGCTCAGATTGGTGCCCAGATCTTGGATTTAGGTTTTACTGTTCCTGTTCCCATCCATCATTGGAAGACTAATGTCACATGGGACTGGCAGGGCATTTGTTAGCTTTCTGGAGCTGTATACGGGAGGGGTTGCCCATCCTTGCGGTTTCTTCTCACAAGCTCAAAGTGCATGTTAGCTTTCACTCTCCACGCCAACCATCCATCGAAGGTACACTGTCTCTACCTCTAGCATAGATGAAGGATAGTCCTTTCCCAAATCAAGTATCAATAGAACAACACCTTTCTGATGGGTCAGGGGCCTGAACCAGGTCCTTGGTCCTTGCTGATGCCACGTTGTGCTTGCACGCTGCAGGAATTCAAGAGGACCGTCCGAAGTTGCAAGCACACTCTGACCTACAGCAAACCTGAGCAGAGAGAAAGGAGCACAGCACATACTTCAATGATCTTTAAAGCACATGCATATAGGATATTGGAAATGTTGCAAAGCAAACGTGGTGTTCCGAAAACCCTTTAGTTGAGGAACAATTGGGTCAAGATTTGCGTGTTCTTGTTCTTTGGCCAAGCCAAGTTCTCCATGTTAAAGATATTCTAAGTGCATTTGCAGCCACAACGTGCTATTCTCAGCCACCCTATAAAGACAGCAAGATGTGCATCACCTGTTTTGGTACTGTGATTGGCGGTTTGATGCCCTTTAGCAGCTAAAGTTTAGCAGATTGCTACTGGCACAATAGGTTCCAATGCTTTCGCTTTGCTTCCATGCTGTGTGACTGCTATGGAAGACTCACGGCCGACTTGACCTTAGCCTGATACTTTTACTTGATGCTTGCCATTTGGTATGCCATATGACTTGCAATGTGTGTGTGTGTGTTTGTGTTATCTAGTTCCTAAAAAAAAGAAACATGTTTATTGCATGTTACAACTGTATAGTGCCATGCATAATACGACACGAGCTCAGCGAGCTCAGCATTGGGTTGCGTCAAGCTCACAATAACATGCAGGGTAGCTACAGATGACGGATGTTGAATAAACCTGGTAACCCCTGCTCTTGTGCTCAGCAAAAGACAGCTGAAAGCATAGTGTCCTTTTTGGGACTTTCGACACCCGGGCGACCACATGTTTTGGGTGACAACTTGGAACACTTGATTTCTGTCTTGGCAGAGGTCACTTCTGCTGAAGGCCAATCGAGAGATTGCAGAGGCGGTGTCAGAAATCATGAAGGGTGTGAAAGTAACACTTCGACATGAGCTGCTAGATAGTACCTGACCCCATGTCTTGAAAAAGATGAGGAATTTGCTCAGCTGATATGTGGATGCATCATCTATGAGCTTACCAAGGGCAATAGGAGTCTTGATTGTTCCAAGCTAATTATATATTTGATGAGTCAGAATTCAATATTCAACCTTTCCTTTTTAGCACTGAGACATTGGAAAGCTCATGCTGGTTTTGAAAGCTTGAATTAATGAGGGGACTTCTGTCAAAAAATGATATAGGATGAGGCATTATGGAGCTTGCTGCCAGTCAAAGATGTTGATGTGATGAACATGATGAACGTGTGGATTACTATTTCGTCTCAAGAAGAGCAAAACACAAGTCCAGGGTCCAGAGAATGCCCAAGAATAGCTCAAGGGCATGACCCATTGTGTAAACTTATATACATATCATATACACATTACATATCATTACATAAATCATCATAAATCATTGTATATACATTATATACATTGTATAGTAAACGAAGATCATTCTTGTGAGAGGAAACATGTGTTTGAGATTCCGGAAAGTCGCCATTGGACGCAATCAGAGTCAAGTAACTATGCCTGCATTGTACATCAGCAGCTGCATTTTACTGAAGCGGTCTACGGCATGCTTTGTATGTATGTTTCCTTTTCCTACATCATAATTTTCCCCGGAACGAGATTGGGCCCTTCAAAAAAAGGGATTCCTTCATTGATCACATCCGCTGAGGCCATGTTTAAACTTAGGGGTACATGCCAGGAGAACCAATGTGGTCATGTAAGCATAACACGCGACTTGCTACTAGAGTATACCAAAGTCTGCTGAAACTATATACTACCGTAGGTCTACTGTAGTATATCATCTAGACGATATGAGCCCCTTGAAATAGATAGTGCACATGACTGCAGAAACTAAGACAGTAATTCTGCCCCACTCACACATACTTTAAAACCGATGCGTATTTTTAGATGGATTGATCCTGCTAATCATTTAGATTCAGGACAACCGAGTGGCTTTGCATTTGCTCTATTCCTGGATCCTACAGTAGGTGGACAGTAGGTGTTTCAGAGGTCCAGCAAAGCGTCGTCACGCATACAGTACATGGGACATTCCACCAGAAAATGTGTGTTTGATTCGGGTGCATATATGCTGTCCCGACCTGGGATTGGCATCAAAGCCATTCGATTGATTGGCTCGGCCAATGTCGATCGCTACAACCAATCAATAGTATATGAATACGATGACAGAGGCAGGCACAAAGAACAAGCAGGAACAACAAACTGCTCTATCCAAAAATGCTCGCCTCACATTGCTCAGCTTTGTAACTATAGAAGCTCTGATGTAGGTCAAGGCTCCGGTGGCCATTGATGCCCCGATTGATGGAGCAGAATGAAGAAGTTACCGAAGCCCACTCCAGAAGCTAGCGCAGTGTGCTGCATGTGCTTCGCTGGCGTTTTCTCATAACTTTGACTTGCTTGGGGTTACTTGCGGCACCCGCGGATCAGAAGAATTGAAGCTGTTTGGTTGGCTCACTGAAATGGTGTCCTGCAACTCCACCCATTTCTTGTCAATATTTGTGCGGCGCTGCAGTTGCGCATGTGACAACCTACTACATTCATGGACTCAGGCACCCATGCAGGGTCTTTCTCACCAAAAAGTTTCACTGGGAATATTTGGGGCATTGTTCAGGCTGAAAAGTACAGGTGCCTGAAAGACTCTTGGGAGAGAGGCTGCATGCCTTGTGACATTGGAAATGACTTGATGAAAGGTGAGGGAAGAGCTCGCCAAGCTAGATGTGCGAGTGGATGAGATCCAGGCTGGGATTGTCGCCCATCCTCAAGTTTTGGAAGTTGTTTTGAAAGATGATACTATGATATTAAAACAGATTAATACTGGAAATGCAGGCATTGAAGATGGACCTGAGCTAAAAGGAAACAATCATTGAAGAACAATGTTCTTGCTGGTCGGCTTCTGGGGATTGCAAGCAAGTGAGCCCATGAAGGACGCGGCACGAGTACCAGGTACTAACCCGAGATGATTCGACATTGTTGTGGCATAAACAAAGTATTTAGGACTTGCGCGTAGCATTACAACTCTTGCTGTACAGATGTGCGCAACTCCAATCCAAATACTTACATGTTTAACCAGACCATACCTCATAATGGAGAACAGCTCGATGTCGGCATCATTCAACTCGGTGTTTTGACAATTGTCTCTTTTTTGCGGTGTTGGTTTTGTTGTTTTATGTTGTTCTTGGACCACAAACTGATGGATCGTTCCCTGCGCTCCGTGGCATAGATCGAAGGCCAAAAACGCCAACTACTTGGAAGAGATTTCCTTGCAAGACAGCGAGGCACAAGCAGTTGTACCGTACAATGCGTGAACACGCTCAGAGCAGGTTTTTTCTGGTCGATGCAGGGCAGAATCAGGACCCTGTAAGCGGCAGGTTGTTGACTTCACAGTAGAGATGGTGATGGGGTTTCCCCAAAAATCTAGGAGTCAAAGGAGCGCTTCTTCAAGTTAAGGAAGCTCCCCCGCCCTCAGGCGGGAGGAGCTTCGTTGAAGAAGTGTGAGCTATCCTGCGTCTATATGTAGGAGCGTTCCATAGCTACGAGCTTACTCTCTTACCAATTAAGTAGGCGCCTACTTAATTAAGAAAGGAGGCAGGGCCACGGGCTAAGAAAAATGATTGACCTGGGAGGGTTAGTGTCCTAGATTACGAAGTCTTTCTTTGAAGTCAACAATTCATTGCCGCACTGCCCACATGAAAAGTTCTGGTCATGCACGCAGATCCAACACGGACCTGAAATCAGAATTATACGTGCTTTGGGGTTGTTTGCTCTTGCTTGGATGAGTTTACCCATGAGGCCCTTGTGCTTGCATGTTTGTTGAGCGATGGCTCTCCCAGAGAAGGGTTTGTATTATGTTTGTCATGAGTCATTGGGGGATTACACCACCAAATTTGTCACATTGATTGGTCAATGTGGTGATAGTACAGTATCTTTTAGCCGCGTTTGTCAAAGTATGTTTGCGACTTTTTGGGGAACACCAGTAGTGTGTCGTCTCCTTGTCCCGCAGATGTTGTATCGTTTTAGTTGACACCAAAAACAGGATCATCAACATACGTTTGCTTCACGACACTTAAATCTTTGAGGGTCACGGATATTCTCAACGTTTCTGGGTGTTTATTGGTCCATTGTATGACAGCCGAGTTTCTCTTGGAGATGATTGCAACATTAGCATTTGACAAATACGTTTGTATACATACATATGTTATAATATGCCACCTCGGCTAACTCACTGGCTGCCTCTATAATTTGTTGGTTATGGTGACATGTGTATATCTATAATCTATACATACCGAGAGCCTGAGTGACCTTCATTTTGAACCACCAACCACCCAAACACATGTTTTCCCCTATCAAGACAGAGGTCAAATGGGCTTTAGATCCTTAAATATAGTATATAATATTAATGATTATATATATATATATGCTCCAGAATGTGTGAGCTGCAGGAATGGCGCACAACATCAATGAAAGTAGGGTGGCACATGTTGAACGGAAACGGTTCCTGGTCGCAAACACATGCAAACACCATGGAAGAAGACATCACAAAAACAACATGCTGTAACACCATCAAGGAAAGAATAACAACGAACTAGCAGACCAACGAAATTGTATCAACCCCTGCCTGTGAAGCTCCATGAATCTTGTTCCTCACTTTCGTCGTCGTTCTTTTCATGGTTTTATCCGTCCAGGTCACTCGGCTTTGTGCCCGGGCCGCGCTCTCCGAGCAAAAGCTGGCCGAAGCCTTCCAGCAGAAGAGGCCGAAGGGTCCGGTCGAGACGGACGGTTCCACGCGGAAGACCATCCGGCGACGTGAAGTTTCTGTTTGAAGTGAGTATAACATGGTAAAAGAGTGTACAGAAGGTGGATTGAAAACTAGTCACATACTATGACATGGCATGTGGAACTTGACTGCTGGACACTTTTGTTGATGTTTGAGACGAGCTACAATTGCAGACTTGACCTAATTTGATGTACAGTAAGTTAGTCCCATATCAACTGCAGAGTCTGAAAGCCACTAGTCTAGCTAAACAAGACAAAATGCTGCATATATAGCAGAACTCAAAGGGTCAAAGACAGCACAAATTCCTAACTCACAGAAGCCCAGACTCACAGGCATCTCTTCAACACACCACGATACTGTGCAGCTAAAATGCTACCATCCAGATTCGTGCACTCTGGAACAGAAACCGAAGGATGCAACGACACTAATTCGAACAACACAAGACTTAAATAGCAATACCAAAAAACATGGACCCTGGCATAATCCAGGAGTGTTCACCTGATGCACTCCTATTCCTGGCACCTCTACATCACTGGTGTCAATATGGAAGCCTCAAAGCCCAAACACACATAGTATATATGAATATTCTTCAAGATCAGGGTGCATATATATAATCTATATCTATTATATTATACTATAACAAAGATATACTTTTTCTGCACTGTATTTGGAAGTCGCGATGTTGTAGATACACTCAGTTTTGTCTTCCCGAGGGATGGGCAGCAACTGCGCGAAGAGAAACAGGCTTGCAGCAGGGGAGGGCTGGGGGGTGGGGCCAAGGTTTACGAGGTGGATCGACGAAGTTCTTACCTTTCCCGAAGCTTCATGGAAACTCCGAAACTGACAGACCTAAGGAATGTAACATACTTCTTCCAATTACTGTACTTCTTGCATTTTCTATGTTGCGAGAGTGAACAGGATGAATTCTGACCTCGCCTCACCTGTGTTCCCCCACGAATTGTGCGACGATATAACAAGTAACGGCAGCTCTTGGAAGGCCTTGCAGGTAGCATTGCCAGTCAATCTTGGGTCCTCAAGGAATCACGCCTTTTCAATTAGAGTTTATCCAGAAGGTCCAACTCAAGGAAGCATAATAGCTTGGGCCTATTTAAGATGTGTTTTCTTTAGGATGTCAATATGTTTGGGTTGACTGACTGTAACAGTGTTGCCCAGGAAGATTACTTGCATTTACTTGCATTTTGTGCACACCATGCGGAAAACCTAGGTAAAGCACATCTGAAAGCCTATCATATCTTCAGGACTCATGGTGTATCACTTCCCATGTTGCGCGTGGATGTGTGCAGCCGGCCAAGTTTTGGTTGACCGAAGGTTTCAACACTGGAATTGAATCAAGTCAGGGCTTGTGAAAGCATAACAAAACATAATTAAAACATAATAAAACATTGGAATTGTGTGCGGAATTCCAACTTTAAATTGAGCAAACATAACTACCTTCCTGCCCACGTTGCATCTCATCTCGCGATGTTTGGTGTTCAGGCAGCAAGGGAGGCGGAGCTGTCGAAGCTTCGGGAGAGTCTCCGTGAGAAAGAGGAGGCACGGGAATGCCAATGAATTGATCCAATGATCCTGTGATGCTGATGCGCTATGGGGAAGGCTTCCCAGGGTTCCTGACCCGTCGATGGACCTCCCACCAGATTAGAGGTCCCCGTACTTTTCCCCACCACTCATAAGGCCTACTTTTGAGCTTGATTGATTGCTGTATAACTTGAAGCACGGTCCGCCCCCATTGAATAGCCGCCAAATGAAATGGATTCAGGAGCAGATAGGAGCAGTGCCATCAACCATCCTTTGCTATTGTCCATGCGGATTTCACCACAAGAAGTGAATCTTTGCATTGTACAAAACCCACTTCAATTTATATAGGAAGAAACATGCATCGCCCTCCGCTGTGCCACACCTGCAAGATGTGTAACTGTTTCAGATGTGTGATGCATGTGACCTTCAGGTGCTGGAATAATGCTTAGTTCTCTATTTGCGTCCAACAGGTTCTATCCATCTCTAGGATTTCATGTGCGGCATTCCTGCGGCATGCTTTGCCGCACCACGCTGAAAGCGTTTCAAAGCTCATGCGCTGCATGCTTGCTGGTCCTCTTGTCGGGTTTGATGCCTGGCTTGCACCATAGTGCTGCGATCGAATTCCGTTCATAGTTTTGCAGATCAGTCGCTACGCGATTATGTTGGAAACCTACCTTCTCCAAGATGGCTTCAAGAACGTCCTTTTGGTTGATTCCAGATCCATGAAGAGATGCTGTGCATATATATATATATTTCCGACAGATCCCAAGTTGAGAGGAGGCAGAGGTTGGAAATCTATATACTGAGCACCTGTTCAGACATATAGATCTGTTTGTGGCACTCAGACAAAAAATAGGATCGTAAGTTCTTTTCGCCATATCCCTCGTCTCTGAAAGGGATGAACAGAAGTAGGGATCCGATAATCGCAAAATCGGTGGTCCCCAAGAAGGGTGATTTCTTGAGCACCGAAACCCAACAGCCCAAAACGAGCCACACACGTTCGGCAGATTTGTTCATTCCAGGTGATTCACTTAGGGTCTTGTTTGAACCACAGCTGCTTGGTTGCGGAGCCAGCAGCTGATTGAGGCCTGTTTCGTGCTGGTGCTGGAGATGCGCCGCTTAAGAGAGGCCAGATGATGGTAGACAATGCAAGGGGCTCCTGGCATCGCTACTAGGAGCAAGGACGCTACTAGGGCTCCTGGCCATACTACTAGGAGCAAGAAGCTACTAGGAACAAACGGTATTTCCCATTTCCACTATAGGAGTTTGATTTGCTGATCTACCTAGCGTCTAGCATGGTGTTCATTTGGACTCCAAAGGGACGATCACCAATCTGCTGGTCCAACAAGCGACACTCTGAAGGATGGAATTGTGCCACCTGAACAAGAACCCACTGTAACCCTGGAAAGAAGTCATACAATAGGGATTCATGTTGGTCATTAGTCATTTGCGGAGGTTCAGTTTTGGTTGCGCACAACAATACCCTTAATTCGAGAAGACCCATTCCCTGTGACCTGCTTGGCCCTATGCCTTAGGCGAACTTTGTTTGCGTTATTTTTATTGCAAGGTTTTGTTTCAGTTGGCAAAGTGGTTTGGAGGTGTTTAGGGAGCCAGCACCGAGGAGGAAACCATAGGACCACAACCAGTCCCAGGTGGGCTTTCACAGCGAGAATGTCAGTGTTCCGACAGGCTAACAAGGTGCTGTTTGGAATCCTCAAAATTTATCTCTAATAAACCAGTGTTCATTCGAAAACGTCTGCACTGGCGCCTGCCCCTTTTGGACTCAGCTGCCAAGGCGGCCTGCTTTGCCATGCCCAGACCGAGTCAACCCGGACCGGGATGGTTTTGAACAACTTGAAGGGTGGAGGGGGGTGGGTATCAAACGGTAGAGCTTTTACTTTTCTGTTTGTGTCCTTTTGTGTTTCGCTTCATCCGAATGACCTCAAATTGACCTCAAGGAGCAAGAGAAATCAATGTGGGGAAGCCAGGGCTCAAAACAGGATGCGACACAGCCACACGACTTGATGCGCGGCGGTTGCATGGATTCATCCCTTACGCAGTTCCTGGAATTTATACATAGGCGTGATTTTGGATGCCTAGTTGTTGGGCCGTGGTTCAACCAGTTCAAACAGTCAGTGGTTTGGGAAGGTTCTAACTGCGCAAAGCCTGCTTGATGAAAATTGCAATTGGTTGCTCTCGTGCTGCTCAAGAAGACACATATTGACAAGTCAACAACCAGGAAACAGACAGAATTTTGAATTAGTGCAAACCAGCAGTTTCAACTGAAAGGAGGGTCATCTTGATCCTAGGCATCCTGAACTATTTCCAAAGCTGCCGCCTCTTGTGACCCGTTCGAGTGAAATTCAACGTGTTGATCTTGCTTCTCCTTTGAGGACGCAGCACTTTTGGAGATGCTGCATGGCGAGGTCTCAATATGAACCTGGGCACGGACCACCTGTTTCGCAGGATTGTTTTGGCTGCGTCCCATGGTCCGATGACGTTGGGGAAGTCGGCTGTTGCACGATCAGGGCAGTTGAGAAGCCCCAAAACTCTGACGAGCTTATTTGTTGTCCTGAACATGTTTCAGTGGGGTGGCTTAGTTCTGCCCAGAATCCTGGCAGTGTGAATTGAATGATACCCAGAAGAAAAGCACTTCCCCTTATCTTCTCTGTGTCCGAAGCTCTCACAGGACCTCTTTGGAGCAGAAAGTGATTCGGGCCACCAGTGATCCAAATCATGCGCGAGGCGTGTATGACTCCATCATGGTCGCGGCCCTTGGCGCCGAGTCAGCACAGCGGGGCGTGCCAATGGGTCTCATTTGGACCCCGGTGTTTAAAAACAGGAACAACCATGGAAACCTCAGAGGCTCAGCAAGGGCCTAGTAAAAACACACAGGGGGGTGCTGCGCAATTGAGCGGTTGCCGAGTGGAAAGTGAGATTGGAAAGCTATACTAATTAACTGAGGCCTTAGTAGGTGCTCAGGCCTTCCTTCAGCAGTGGGTAGTGTAGGGGGGAGGGTAGCAAAAATGGACATGATTTTTGCACATGTACATTGGGCTTTGATGCATCAACATGCGCATTTTATGGTGGAAAGTGCATAATGATGTGGCCAACAAAGAATGCAAGGACAGGCTAAGCACTTCACCAGAGCTTGCTATCAGTCACTACTGCAGATACCATTGTGTTGCTTTTCAATGATTTTTGGGCTGCAGGCCAACCCAAAGATATCATGAGCCCACTAGGTCACCTGGCCCGAAACCTGCCCGATACTTCCCGTCATAACTACCAAGCCCCGACCCCTAAACTTAGAAACATGGGCCAAACCAAGCAAATCCTCAGAACCCTTGTCCTAAGGGCCTGTAGTCCCACCAACCCTTGAAGCAACTAAACCTTGCCAATCCCGAAAACTGAAAAGTTCAAAAAAGCTCCGAAACATAAACCCAAACTTGACCAACTAAAACAATAAGATCAATAAGTACCCACGGTTTTGTGGACCATGGGGCGGGGGTTGAGCCCTCACCTGGCCAACAATGACGCCCCAGTGACTGACCATGGCGCCATGGGGATCCGTGCGCTGCGACCATGGCGCCATGGGGTGACTTAAGGAAGAGAAGCGTACCAACGAATATTGGAAGGCATTGATCCTCCGAGACTTGTAGAAGCACGACAGGAGATGATGCTCCTTGGCTGGATCGGTTTTCCGATAGGAAAATTGTGAAGAATGGAACTTGACGTAGAGAATTACAGTTTCTGGTAGTACCTGTTTGTGTGATCATCAGCCCTCCTTGAGCAAAGTACAGGTGCTTGACCTTGCCCCATCATGACCTTGCGTCTTCATTTGAGATGCTCTTCATCGTGTTCATCGTTTTCTTGGCTTGTGATGGATCGTTGACTCAATTGAGTGGAGGGTTTTTTGCACTTCAGGTCCTTCCTCCCCAACGGCCGAGTCCTGGAGGTGGGCTGTGGGATCGGTGAGTTGGCGTCCAACTTGCCGCAGCTTGGCGTCCATTGGAAAGCACGAAAAGGTCCGGCGTCCATTGGTTGCCAAAGAACTTGATGAGGAGTTCGTAAGCGGGAGGTCGGAAACTCTGGCAAAGCTCTGACAGCAGGAACAAACATGATAAACATGTTTTACTAAATGATTTCTATGTTTTATTATAAATATATATATATATATATTATGGTGGATTGCATTCACATGATTTGACAAGTGTTGCACGAATGTGGGACACAGACTTCTACCTCCAACCCAACATGAAGAGAAACATGTTTTGAACATCTAGGTTTGACCCGTGCACCAATCACTGATGTGGGCTAGGTTTGCGTGACAGAGGCATGTTTGTTGTTTGTGCTTTAAGTATCTTTAAGTTATAAGATGTTATAAGGCCTTCAAATAAGCAGGACACTAGACAAAAACCCTCTGTATGTGTTGTTAAGTTGCTTGAGTTTAGTGTTTTTGCTCGCAAGAAGTGTTTTGCACCAATGTTGTTTGGAAAAAATGAAAGAAGTGTTTTGGTGTTTCCGTGGCCAAGTCTTAAAACACTTCCACAACCAATAACCATTCGACCCTTCTTCTCACCCTCAATAGCCTGAAACACTACAGCCATCAGTCACAAATTCCCAAAGCGCAAGCACCAAATGCCGTTTTTCTTTTAACAAAAAATGCAAGCAGTCTCACTGATCCAAAGATCAGCTCTTCTTGAACAGCTTTCGCAGGTCTTCAAACAAACTTCCTACAAAGTGTTTACAAAGTTTTGCATCTTTACAAAAAAATGACAAAGTTTTGGAATTACAATTTTTTTACCGAGTTTTTGCATTACAAAGTTTTAACAAAGTCTACAAAGTTTAAAAATAGAAATAACAAACTTCACAAAGCTTTGGAAACTTACAGTACATTAAATTCTACGAAGTTTTTACAAAGTATTGAACCTTTAGATATCTGAACAAAGCTTTGGACATTTATCAAGCTTTGAACAAGTTTTGGAATTTTACAAAGTTGTTACCAAGTTATTGAGTTT